TTAGACACCGTGGACGCTTTTGATCAGATGGATCAGGACGCCCCGCGCTTCTCGGTAATAGCCAGGAAAGAAGAAGGTCCATGAGCTGAGTTCAAGCAGTGGCCCTGAGCTCTTGCGGTCACAGACACAGAGCTCGCGGGAGCGTTTGGTGTTGACCCATACGTCGCAGGGAGGCAATCCGAAGGCAGTCGACGGCGTGCCTTGAGTTTGGCAATCTCAAATCGGAGGTGTCGCTCCATACGCACGTTCACTTCCTTGTGGCTCAACTGTAAGGAGGCGGCTTTGCCGCAGATAAAAATAAATAAAGTCAGTTTTGCATTCAAACAGAAGAGTTAATAAGCCTTGGGTTTAGGCAATAATTACTCTTGGAGCTAGCGGATTGCGACCTGCTAAACTCGTACTTATTGTAAGTACACAACGAATGGTCGGTGACCTAATTTCTGGTTCTTTGAAGCGCAAAGCTACGGCAGCCCCGCTGTAGGTGACGAGACCGGCGTGTCTCTGTCTTTCGAAGTTGGCGGTGTGAGCGAGTCACTTCTACTGGATACTTTCTATAAAAGTTGAAGTTCAAGATTTTCGAAGTTTAAGCTCCGTACACCCAAGATCTTGTTAATATGAAGCTGAGGTCAACCTCACAGCACTCTTGATTTATAAATCAGAAACCTAAAATTTAATCAGTACAACTTCTAGGAGCTCTTGGGTGCTCCGCGTGTAGCTTAGAACCATTACACCATTTGTAAATTTACCTTAAGGTGTTAAGTCGTTCTTCATCGCTCCAAGTCCAGACCGTCCTACGTCGGGAATCGCTTCCTCGTCGCACAAGTGTATGTGTTGTGTTTGAGGGACTGTTTTTAAACATGTGAGCAGTGTCCTTTGATATTGACCGAGTGGCTGTCGCATTTTGTGAACACGGTGCTTTAGAGGTACGGACATATCCATGATGAAATCTCAAAAATATACTTCATAAGGATAGCTTCCTTAAATCAACGAGAGCCTAAGCTTAAGGCAAGGGTATGACAGGCACCACCTAGAACTACCCGCAGAGCGTGAAATACGATTGCTGCTTCGCGTCATATCTTGAAGTACTGGTTCACTTCCATTTTACCATTTGATGTAAGCTAAACTTTTCTGATTATAAAACCGTTTCCCAATTCATAACGACCTTACACCCTCTTACTCAGTAAAACGTCTTGCTTCGAAGCTGATGCAGCGTAATGCCCAAAGCAATTATTCACATTATCCGAGGTGGATTAGTGACCCAAGAGAGAACCACTAGGAATGCAATACGAGGCAGCCATTTCTTGCATCTAATCATTCCATGACTTTTGGCGGTTCAGCCACACTTTCCGTGCGATGAGATCATATCACAAATCCAGATTCAGGTGTCTTACGCTGTCAAAGCTCTCGAGCTTTACGCAAAGCATGAAATTTCCTTCGACACTTTTACGAGTGCTCCTATCGCACGATGCAGTTATTGCGTGTGTTTATTATCTTCGACAGTCGCACGTCGTACTTAATCGCTCGACGCTTCTGGATCAATCGAGACTTCCAGGGCTTAACAAAGGAGGCTGAGACTTCGAAGCCAAAAGGAAGAAAAAATGTGTATTTACGCCATGTCCAAATGTTGTCGTAGCTACGTTGCCGAATCATATCTTTAAGTTTTCTTTTGAAATTATTTGCCGTAATCATGCACGTTTAAATAACCAAGAAAAGCACTTGGGGGGTGTGAGATCTGGCTAGGAATACCACAATGAGTTTAAATACTGGATGCACCAAAAGTTTATTTGGAAATGGGCAAGATCGCAATTTAGTGCATAATGCCGCCACCGGCTTAATCTGCATCCGGATATTAGGCATGTAAAGTAGATGTACAGTTGCAACATCTTTGAGCACAAGAATACTGAGCTGTGAGTCGCACTTCTCAGAGGATTCTAGAAAGCTGAGTCTTGTCAATCTTGATCTCGAAAAGGTAGAGTAAGACCCATTTTTTCTTCAGTAAACTAATCTACGCAAACTGTGAATTGACGTTTCCCCACGAAAGGTGGTGGTGCAATTTGCACCAGAGCTTGACTCTTTGTACCTCTCCGTCGACCGAGAAGGAGATACGCATGTGTGCAAATATACGATACATACGAAGATGTAACATGTAACGGGGATCCACGTACCCTTGTATGAAATGGCGGATCGCACAATTTTGTGCGACCTTACACGAGTTGGTGTAAATACACATTCACCGTAGCAAGAAGCCACCACGTAACAGGATTGCCAGTTGTAATGCATATAAATTAGGTTTTGCTATACTAGTTAGGTATTACTACATTAGTTAGGAAAACCTAGGATTTTAGATATTGGTGGTTCTGCCGCAACAAAGACAAATAAATACAGTTTCACTTTTGATCAGAAGTGTTTGTTAAGTATTTTTGTACTTGGAGGTAGTGGCTACACTCGTTTTGGTTCTTGGAAAGAACGAAAGGTCGACGACCTTAGCTTAGCTTCCTCTAAGTGCAGCCTCGCTGCACTTGGTAGCATTCGTAGTCAATCTACGCCTGAGTCGTTACGACAGATCCTTTGTAAAGATGGAAGAATACTCCTATTCGCCCCAGGGTATCAGAACGGGCTTAATAAGCTGATATCCCTGCAGGGCCATGAGGGCGTGTATAAACTCGTCCGCAAAGGTCTGAGGACATAAACGCGCTCTTAGAGGCGTTTTCAAGTTATGAAACTGCTCTATAAGAGCACTTACAGCAGAAGCTGTCAGCGTCGACTACGTCTATGACGCCGCCTTCGACGACGGATAATTTCCCAGGCTGCGCATGGCGAGCGTTAAGACCTTCGAGGGTAAGGATGAAAAAGTTAATCCTGCTATAGATAAGAGATGTCGAGATTGCTATGGCATCCGCCATGCTTTAAAACGAGCAAAAGCGCGTGGCGCAAGCTATCTCCAAGCTCGAAGGCCGAGCGCAAGAATGGGCACAAACGTGCGGTGCTTTGGTTGAAGCTGCGTTCCGCTCCTAGAAGGACCGGAAGCGTCAGTTTCTGTGAGTGTTCTTGCCGCCTAATCAGGGGTATAGCGTGGGATCCCGTTTCCTTGCTGCTCGACAGGGCAAGAAGGAATTAGTGGACTCTGTCCAAGAGAAAAGAATACTCATTGCCGGGATGGCAGCAGATCCTCTCCCCGAGGCGGTCGCAGTGACTGACTTAATGGAAGGCCTCCGCACTGGCGTAGCCAGAATGGAAGTCTCCCGTGTATATTCGCCTTCTTTTGAAGAGGCGGTGAGCATGACATTGAATGCCGGATTCAATTTCAACTCAGCCCGATTTTGTTTGAATACACACCCTGAGAGCTCGTCGAGTGGGCCTGGGCCACTGCATCTCAGCTATTCTGTGAAGGAGGAGGGTGAGCTCCGAGCTACTGAGTAGCGTGTAAACACCTGGTACTGTTTTGTTTGTGGAGACACCCGTAACCATCGGACTGGTTGTCCCCTGCGCAAAAAGCGTAAAGATTCGTCGAACCGACGTTCCGCTTCTAACCTGCCTGGTTTGTCGCGGGGAAACGAGAAAACCCATTCAGTCGCGGGGCGATTTACTCAAAAAGAACTGAGGTCTGTTGTGCCCCAAAGAGGTAGAGGGCAGCAGGGCCCAGCCCCGAAAAGCTTCGCGCTCTTGATCACCGAACGTGTGTGCAAAGCGGGCTTGCTGGTCGTAAAAGCGACCGTGAAGGGCTTTGATACGCCATGGAAATCCTTATCGATTCTGGCGCAACGGACAATCATGCTTGACGCTCCACTCAACGTGCGCAAAGACGTCGGAGACTCCTGTTTACCAGATTGAGTGTCTTACGATACGATCACGATGCGATGGCTGAAGGCAAAGACATTCAGACGGAAGAGTAAAAAAATTGTTGAAAAGATCCGCATCATCCATGAGATCTAAGCTATGAGTGCTGAATGCTGGCGAGGTGTCAAAGTAAATCTCCCTCAATTGGCACGCTGGTTGATATTTACGTGTTGTTTTGCCTGTCCTACAACCTATTAATTTGATTCGACTTTAAGGATGTAGGTGTTCGGCTTGCTCGCCGTTCAGTGCGTTATTATGCGTAGCTCAAAGCACGACGGAGGATATCGAGGAGCAGAAACTCATCACCCCGAATTCAACAGTCCTACGCATCTCTTCCATGTGACTGCTCTTACAGTTCTGTTTCAGCCTTACACTTAGAACAAGACGAGGATAGTAGTGCAAACATTGCGCTGGGCGATGTTGTCTTATTTTACGAGAAGATAACGACCGACTGCGTGCGGAGTCAAAAGCGTCGACATCACCAAAGCACTTTCCCAAAATTCCCGAAATAAGAGGGTTCATTCGAATTCATCAGACACAGGTTATACTTTTGACGTATCCGCTGATCCACTAGCATGTTCATCAAGCAGCGTGAAGGAGGGCGTCTCTCCTGTGGCTGGCTATAACAAGCTATATCGGTTATTGCGACACGTCGACTCTCTCCTAGAATTCTAAAGTATGTCCGATACTGAGATCAGCCATGTTTCGGGCGCTCCCTCTAAAATTTGCTGAGGCTTTGATTTGAAGCGATCAATATAATGAAAGCCGGCAGAAATATTGGCGAATACTCTTGTTAGGGTATAATTCAGCTCTATTGTCACATAAAAGCGGTATTGCTGGCAGCAAGGGGTAAAATATGCTTCGAAGATTCAGTGATGCCATAATACCGTAATCGAAGGCGGCTTTTGCAAGAACAGAATGTAAAGATCATATAAATGAACTGTCAACAACGTGTCAAAGTATGCGGCAAGAGTTCAATCCGTCAGTACAGTTTTTACCCGCACACATAATTGCTTAATTACTTGTAGATGCTGAAGCACTCGTTCAATGCGCCTACCAGGCATTTGACTTTCGTATTTGAGGTGAACAGGAGTAATAGATTAGTTTGTACTTGCGGTCATCAACATTAGGTAACACCACACATCGAGTATCAGGTGGGTCAGTGCTATGATACAGCAGGTCTTGAGATTAGTTATAACGGTGCAAACGGGTAACAAAACGTTTTAAGGGTAATGGTGACACAACAAATGTTGCGTTTGACTCATAGGCTGTACGGCTCGCTTCATCACTGAGTAATATCGCCATAGTGACATGCGACATCTCATATTTCGGCACGAAAGAGCAACGGGGTAGATAAATACAAATTTTTACTCGTTTTCTTACTTCGCGCAGGCGATCGAAATTAAAGAAACTACAGTCAATACTCCAAATGACATATAATGTACGACGAAAAGCGCTGCTTTGTATTGTCTCAAAAGGTCTTGAACTTAAGCTTTTTTGCCAATTTCTTAGATTAGAGCTTCTTCATGAGAAAAAAAGCAAATTATGCTCAGCATTCACCTGCATTTGAGGTAAGCACCTGGTCAAGACGAAGAAATGGCGAGCTGTGTCGAATCTTTGTTTAATGCGAAGTCACAAATATAAGAAACATTGTGAATAAATGCATCCTTGATATTTGAAAGGCACCAGGAACAAACCCATAATAAGAAGCTCTCCTTATTTTTCTAAAAACTTGTCAGCCGATACATAATTTGTTTTTTCAAGCTATCATTTATCATACAGTAGTTTATGTGAAAATTTCCGACATAATGCTCAAATCGATTTTAAAAAAACCATTGACTATAAAATGTTTAAAGCAAATTGTTCTCCTTATATTTAGATATTGCGGTTGAGCACGAGAAGGGATTCGTGCCAATCAGATTTGAGTCTAGGTTGGAAGCAGGACGTAAACAAACTGTAAATCAGAATAAAATAGATACGATCTATCTGCAGAAAAGAGTATTCGAACTTTATCGATGTTCATTATTTTGAGCGAAGCATATCAAGCAGGGATGTTCTTAACAAGTGGTTCTGGTCATCACTACCCTACCACTGTGTATACATTGCCATGGTGTGATGTCGGAATGACCATGGATTTGACCGAGTGGTAAACAGAGCAACAGCACAGCAATCTTCAAGCAAGGATGTCGCGCTCAGTAATGAAATCCTATGCATCATCCGTTTACCAACATAAAAGTATGTCCTCCCCCGACACTAATGTTGCGAATCGTTAGACTTTCTTGTCAGGTATATCGCATGTTGATTAGGTTTTGATGAGCGAGTGGAAATGAAGAGTATATGGCGTACGGTCAAGAGTTCGTAGCCCTGATAGCTAGGTTGGCGACTGACCCCGTTTCAAATAAAACTATGTTCATAGGGATGTATTCGCGTGGGTACGGCTCACAACAAGTGCTTCACCAATACTTGACCTCTAGGAAATGCGATGAACACCATTCTTAATTCGGCACTCAGCTTTAAGTCCATAGAAATGATAAAAAGTGAGCTATTTAGCGTGCCAGATGCCACAAATCTAGCCAATCGAGAATGACGAGAAAGATCGTTCTCTCGGCTGCTATAAGATTGCTTTGGTTTCTGCAAGTACTTACCTTTGACCATCACGGTTTGCCAGTGGCGATGGCTTAGGGTCAACATCCGCGTTTTTCAGCAAACTGTAGCCAACTTCGGTTAGAATGCTCGGCATCAAATCAAGTTTGTCCACTGCTGGTTTGGCGGAATGCACTCATGGCGTGGTAGTGGATATCTCCCAAGCACTTGCCCGATTAAGAAATTGTACTAGAGGGAATTTACCACTTCTTTAGGTTACGCTGAAATTTATTGTACGCGACTCTTTATACCTTACCCCATTCTAAAATAAATGATTCCGGTAGTCCTGGTGTATTTCTTACACCACTACAGCATTCTTCCGGTGATTTTTTTGGTGAAGGGGGATCGTCGGTACGATTCGATTCGCTTATTCGCTGGTGTCAGTACTAGTAAACTAGCTGATTTGATTTCGTTGATATTAGGACATCATACACAACGCTATGGCTTAAAGCCATGATGTGAAAGGAAGATGCCAGTAACCATCGCAATTCTCATGATTTTGTAGATGGTGTAACGATTTTACTAAACGCAGTAAAAATCTTTCTACGCATGCAGTGTCTACGGTTTGCTATACTAACTTAGGGCACCGCTTCGGTGAAAAGCTTACAGTCGTAGTAAGAAAAAGATTAACATTTACTTTCAATATCCCAATAAAAATGCAATCACATCCTGTGTTTTCATAGGCTTTATATACCCGTACCAAGATACCGGTCTGACGAGCAATCCGGGTGTGTAGTGATCTGTTAAAGACGAGACACCCAACCATTTTCCCTCGATGAGCTATTTACTGATCTAGGGTAGCGATACGGCTTCTTAGTGGATGGGTGGCCTCAAGTCACTTCGTACAATGGGATAGTATAAAGTGCATCCGGGAATTTACTCTTGTCAGATTTGACCGCACGCCGATACTCTCGAGAGAATTTTGACGTGCCACTATGAAAAAGCTTATGAGAGTCAGCTAGAAAGGTATCGCTATTCAACAAGACTGCTCTGCTGAGAAGATGAAGTGAGCAGTAGAAGGCAAGTTTGGAAGTAAATGTATTTAGGTCCTT